AGTGAATTCTCCTCCAAGCTAATACGACAAGACAAAAAGACAGTGTAAGTTTTCCTTTTTTTTTTTTTATAAATAAATTCAATAAATTTTTGGCTAAATTAAAGTCCCAAAACTTAAATTGTCAAATGATGCCCTTCCCTCAGGCACTCCTACCTGGAGAAGTTCATGTCGGAGTCGATGTCGGAGCGTCGGGAGGACGTGTGGCTGCCGCTCATCTCCTACAGGAACAGCCTGCTGACGGGCGGCGACGAGGACCACATGTCCGTCACGTCGGGCTCCAGCAGCAAAACCGGCTCGGTGCGCAGCAAGAAGGGACGACCGCCGCTGCACAAGAAGCGCATCGAGGGTGAGCTTCTTAGAGCTAGACGAGGGGCGACTCTTCTGCCGAAGCGGAAAGACGCGCATCCTCACCGCGAAGCCGTGTGCTCGTTTTCAGAGGAGAGCAGCGTGGAGGGATCGTGGATGATGAGAAACGACACGCTCCAGACGCCGAGCGCGCTCCAGACTCCTCAGCTCACCTCGACCGTCCTCAGAGAGAACAGACCCGCAGAACACATGCCTGATCCGGACTCGGAACCAGGATCGGAGAACGACTACGTCCACAAGTGCGTTCGTTTTCAGAACGTCCACGCAGAATGTAGAGAGCAATGAAACATTACTTATTCACAAGACAGAGCTTCTTTATTCCTTTTACAATACAGTTGTCAATAATGTTGAGTATGGCTGCAACAATTAATCGGATTGATCATGATGAATTAATCGATTAATTTGGTTATCAATTAATCGTTGGCTGAATTTTTAGACATACTAAGAGCAGTTATTATGGCAAAACTATGCAAAACTGATATAGATTTTGAATTTAAAATAATAATAAACTTATATCTGTAAATATGTTATACACAAGACTTCTTAAGTGGCATCTTTGGCCTCAAACATTTAAAATTGTGTTTAAAATAAATAAATAAAAAAATCACTGCTTTAGTACCTTTTGCTATCCAAGTATTTCAGTTAAAAAAAAACAAAAAAAATCAACAATCAGCCTTTCACTGTATTGATGTTACGTCAAGTCGAAAGGACAGAGCGTTTCGCATTTTGGATGTTGTTTGGTTTTAATTGATTATTTGTCAGAACAACTGATAAAACAATTAAGTCGCAATCCTAACGTCGCGTCTTCGTCCTCCAGTCCTCAGATACAGATGTCGTGGCTCGGCCAGCAGAAGATGGAGGAGGTGAACAGGAAAGACCGAACGAGCATGAACTACATCAAGTCGCGCAGCAATCAGGGCGTCCGGCAGACCGTGTAAGTGTGCGTTCGGCTTCCATGCGGCTCTCAAACGGCGTTCTTGTCGTAATCGGCGTTTTTCTCCTCCAGCCGCGGGCTGATGGAGGACGATGCGGAGCCCATCTTTGAAGACGTGATGATGTCATCGCGGGGCCAGCTGGAGGACATGAACGAAGAGTTTGAAGACACCATGGTCATCGACCTGGTCAGTAAACGCAGCATCAACCTGCTGTATAACTTTTAAACAATCTCTGGGGGAAGAAGTTATTTCACTATCCTGAAATGATGCACACCTTTTTTTCTTTTTCTTCACAGCCGCCATCAAGGAACAGACGTGAAAGAGCAGAATTAAGACCAGACTTCTTTGACTCTGCAGCAATGATAGAAGATGAGTCGGTACGTCTTCTTTTAAAATAAATACTGAAATAACTTGTGCATTTAATATTTACCTTCTGAAAGGTAATGGTGATTTCTATGTTTGGGTCAAAATTAGTTAGAAAGCTAATGTTAGTTTAAATGCTGCTATTATTATTATGTGTTCTTACAGTAGCATGAAGGTTAAATTTAATATCAATGTTGACCTTCTTTGCTGAAGCATTTTGTTTTCAAAGGGTCTTTGACGTGAAGTTCCACGTTGTTTCTGATTTTTATATGTATTTTAACAACATGTAGGGAAGTATAATGTCGTCATTTCTTTTTTCTTTACTTTGGAAGCTTCAAGTGTTGGTAATCACTGCAAGTTGTCCTGTTTTATGTTACACTTATTATTTATTGTTGGCATAATGAAGAAAATAATGCATAGATAAGTAGTTGAAAAAAATGTAACCGCCAATAAATGAGAAAAAAAAATTAATTTAACTTTATCAAATAATTTTTGAGGTTGAAAAATGTGCTGTAAATTTCTTTCATTTTTTAAATTGAGGTATTTATTTAGTCGTTTATTTTTTTTTCCACAAATTTGTTAAAATGTGTGTATTATGATTAGAGTATCACTGTCTGCAAATATTTCTATTATACTAGTGGATATGTTGGTTTTTTTTTTCTGGTTTTTTTGTTTATAGGTTTTAAATTAGAATTCCTGGTAAGGATTATTATGGTCTGTAAATGAGAGAGAATACAATAAATCAATTTTGAAAATAATTGTACATAATGATAGTGATAAATAATTTTAGCAAATTAAAAAGGGGGAACAGTTAAGGAATGAAATTGAAAAGACGCTCACTTTGAAAATACTTGTTGCTCAAGTATGATGGGCAAATTTAATATACTCCAAAATAAATATGATCTCGATTTTATTTTTTTTTTAAAGAATGGCAGAATGTTTTCTCTCTTACTGAATGCAGATAATATAAGTGATATCTATTTAGATGGTGTGATAGGGATTGGTGGGTGGCATTTCTACATTTCTCCTGAACAAATATGATCTAATTAAAGACTTAGATCATCTTTATTATTTGTTTATTTAATATTTATTATCTCAACTTATATCACGTTTTATAGGTCTGGAGTTGTTTTAATCCATTGTTTTTGTTCCATTTACTGGCGTAGGACTTATTATTGCTGGGGCTTTTATTTATAGCTGCTTTGATCGTTGACGTTTATACATTTTTATGTTTGTTCATGTTTCCAGGGATTCAGCATGCCCATGTTCTGATCTGGAGAGCATTAATATCACGAGCTCAGCATTGTAACGAGGAGTAAACTGAAAAAGAGGTGGTGGTCTGGGCCGGTTAACCTTGGACCACCTAACAATCAAACTCTTTACAAAGAAGAATATACTGTCTTAAAGTGTTAAAGGACGCCTGCGTTTCTCCGAGACATGATGGAAGGATGTCCGTCTAGTGGATCGGCACCGACCGGAACCAGCCTGGAAGAGAACTGTTTTCCCTCTCTTGTCTGGCGCAGAACGGAGGTCCTGCGGTCAAAATTATTCAAGAACTTCGTCCCGTTCGTGTTCTTCCTCCGCAGCCTGTCGGTTTAGCTCTCATTAGTGGTGGTCCCGATGATGCTCTGGCCTTCAAAACCCACTTTTCACAGTTCCTGTTATCAACGATGCACAGATTTTAGCTCATGGTCACAGAGCACCAGGGTTCTCTGTACAGCTCCCCTCCCAAAAACCTTCCTTCCTTCCATTCCTTCCTTCCTTTGTTCTGTCCTTCCTTCCTTTCTTCCTTCCTTCCTTCCTTCTCTTGGTGTTGCACTCCAGTCCTCCTGGTTGAATCAAACATGGACAGACTCTCCCTACTAAATGTCCCACTTCTTTGCTGTCCCCCTGCTGTCTGCGCGCCATCTCTTTGTGTGTGGTGTTTGACGTGCGTGTGTGTGTGAAGTGTATTGGTGGCGACGACGGCCGAGGAGCGACACACCTAGACAAGAGATCAACAGCTCTCAGCTGACCCAGAGGAAGTATCAGCGCCGACCAAGCATATCCAGGCTTGTTCTACTCCGAGGGAGGAAAGAAAACCCCCCTGCTGTCTCACACTCTCTAGATAACAGCTTTTTAAAGTTAAAAACGTTTTAAAAAAATATATAATAAACATATTTTCAACTCTGTAGCTTTAGTACTAAAGTTTTAAATCAAGTGTGTTTTTGTCTGTTTGTACAGTTTTTGTTTTTTTCTTTTTCTCTTGAATATGTATCATGTTTGTTGCCAAATTGTGGCCTACATACTTAAAAGTATATCCCTCCCTGTCCTCACCTCTAAGGCGGATACCATAGATACCAGCTTCTAGGCGCTGTGTCGTCCGATTGTAATTAACACTCGAGCTTCGAAGCCGAATATCCGTGCCGCTCCGTCATCCAACAGGTCAAAAACGAGCCGCTTACATTTTTGCACCCGTACTCAGTGTTCATGGATCTGAGAAGTTCTAGATTTTGTTGTTGATCATTGTTCATACCCAGTGCAGTGATGGATCTTTGTCTGGCAGATGTTGTTTGAATGTGTTCTGAATGTTCTCAGCCATACCTTTTCCTCGTCCCTCTTTTGGGTCAACAATCACTTTTCAACCTTCCCTTTTGCTGTAAATATCAAGAGATGATCGGATCTTTTTTTTTTCTTCTGCCGTGCAGTTCGACATCAGTCACCCTAGCATACTGTTTGTTTTTTTTTCTTCTGTGATCTTAAATTCTTTTTAATAAAATCAAATCTGTAATCAGTTTATGGATGAATGTGTTTCTCTTTGGTTTTTCTTTTTAATTGCCTCCATGTCTGAAGAGCAAATTTTGACATTTTTATGTGCCGATGCAATGCCTCAGTTTTACCAGCAGGTTCCAAAGAGCACTTCTGCAATGAGACGCATTTGGTGCTGTGGTGTCGATGCGTCCTCATAAAGCACATATGGGACAAACGGGAGGATTCAACATGAGAGGTTTCAGGAAGTTAATTCCTGAAATGTCATTTTGTTTTATGGAAGTAAAAAAAAAAAATTACTCGTTGAATTTATTGCAGGACTTTAGTTGTATATTCTATGTAGTTGGATTTTTCTTGCGGGACTTTAACGTGAAGCCAATGTCTAGTCTCAAGCAGACATCTTGAGGCGGTTGAGGCGACCCGTAGATTTGAGTTGGGCGTGTATTTCGATACACCACTCAATCCAACCATTTGAAAACCTGCAGCTGCAAATGTTTGGGAAAAATAAAAATAAAATCTGTAGTTATTTATGTTCCTCCAATCATCTTGGCAAACAAGATTAGATAGAAGACGATGACAAAAATGAGATGCGGATACATTGAGATGATTTATTTTACAGAGGGCGCCAGACAGAGAAGGCACAGTTTGGACCTTGGTGTCCTGAATGAAAGAAAAAAAACAACTAAATACAGTACTGAAACTCGGGTCAAAAAACAACTAAATGTTTTTATAATTATTGCAAAAAAATAACTTTATTCAGATAGTTTAGTTCAAAAACATGCTTGATAACAGCCAATATGGCTACTGCTTGAGTGTTCAATTATCCTCCTTTTATCCAAAGCTTGTGTGTCATAAAAATCCTGATACTAGTCTTATAGGTGGCACCATATTGAATAACACTTTATTCTTTTTTTAAAGATGAGTGAATTTGGGATCTTGATGCTTCCAGCGGAGTGGTAAATGAATACGACAACCATCTGCTTGGCAGGCTTCCCGAGGAACCCCTGCTGTTCACCTGAGCGCAGTGAAACGGGGGCCTTTATCATCGCATTGCCGTGCAGCCGGGTTGGAAGTGTTTCACAGAGGAATGTTGGCGTGCTTCTTCCACGGATTGACCTGCTTCTTGCTGGCCAGCACTTCCAGGTCGCTGCAGATCTTTCGACGGGTGGTCGCGGGCTCGATGATGTCATCGACGAAGCCTAAAGAGAACAGAGTTCGGATGGAGATGTTTGGGGTCTAAACACAATCAGCTGGTGGTAAAGATGGCCAGCAAATGTGTTTTGCAGACAGCAGATTTACCTCTGACGGCAGCTGGGAAGGGATTAGCAAACTTGTCCACATATTCGGCCTCGGCTTCGGCCTGGTTCTCCTTTCCTCTGAAGATGATCTGAACTGCGCCCTGTGCAAACAGAAAGCAGAGAGTGAGTGGGTTCAAGGAATACACTGAAGACAAATGGAGGGAGATGATGAACGTGTTTGAACCTTGGCACCCATAACGGCAACTTCAGCCGTTGGCCAAGCATAATTCACATCTCCTCTCAAGTGTTTGGAGCTCATTACATCATAGGCGCCTCCGTAAGCCTGAAAGGGAGACAAAAACAGTGCTAAGGTTAAGAATAGCAATTCGGATTATCAACCACACTGCTTTTATTTCAGTCACCCAGAACTATTCTCTACACATCATCAATGAGAGATTCCGTAAACACGCACCTTTCTGGTGATGACGGTTATTTTTGGCACTGTGGCCTCTGCGTAGGCGTACAGCAGTTTGGCTCCATGTCGGATGATGCCGCCGTACTCCTGGGCGGTACCTGGTGGGAGTCACCGCCACAAATTAAAGGGACTAAGCAAACACATCTGGTCCACTTCCAATCTTAATTTTCCAGAATACCTGGCAGAAAACCTGGAACATCCACAAAAGTGATGATGGGAATGTTGAAGGCGTCACAGAAGCGAACGAAACGGGCTCCTTTTACCGAGGAGTTGATGTCCAAACAACCTAAAGAATGAGACAAATGCATCATACACTGAAGAATCAAACTTTCGAATCAACTTTCAGCTTTTTCGCTCAAGTTTAGCTTACCAGACGCTACTTTGGGCTGGTTACCCACAATCCCCACGGTGCGGCCATTCATTCTCGCAAAACCCACCACAATGTTTTTGGCGTAGTTGGGCATGATCTCAAAGAAGTCCCTCTCATCTACGATCTGGATAGATGTGTTTTGGAGGCTTTCTAAGTCTTGCATAACTAACATGTCACACGTTTACGTGTTGATGTGTGTTTTGTTTGTGCTCCTACCGCGTGGATGATGTCCAACATGTCATAGGCTTTTGTCGACTCAAACGGGACGATGGTGTCCAACGACTTCACCAGACGATCGCTGTAAAGGAAGACATAATCAAAAGCAACTCCACAGTTCAATAATTGGCGTATCTGACACCAAGGCCTTAAAATATCTTCAATTTATTAAAGAAAATGTAAGTTGGCCTCAAATGCATTAATCACAGGTCTGAAAATGTTAGGGAAGGACTATTTAATCTCCAGTAGAGGCTTAGAGGTTTCTTGTGCCATAAATGAGACGGTTTACCTGGGATCGTGGCACTCCCTGACGGGAGCTGGATCCTGATTACTAAGTGGAAGAAAGTTGAAGAATTCTCGTAGGTTTAGCAAAGCCTCGACATCATTCTCAAACGCACGATGAGCCACACCTGACAACGGAAAACAACACAAAGGGAACATTTTTATACACTTTTGAGGCATTCAAAAAAACATGATCATGACGGTGGGGACAAGATCCGAGGAACCGACCGGAAACGGTGGTGTGAGTTTTGGCTCCGCCCAGCTCCTCCTGCGTCACGTCTTCGTTGGTCACAGACTTGACGACATCCGGCCCCGTGATGAATAGATATGACGTATCCTACTCACACACACATAAAAGAAAACAGTCTGGTCAGACAAACTTTAGATGCAGTTTTAGTATGAATTATAAATAAAATCAGCAATACACTTATGGCTATGCACCAAATGTTTTGTTTAATATTATTAATAAAGCAATTGAAGTGGGGTATTATCACTTCACCCCCAAAGATGAGGTTCAAATGCATAATAAATAACCCCAAATTTCTATGACATTCCTGATGAATGTGTGCAATCTTTCACCAGACCTGGCCTGGGCCTGAGCTGCCTCATACCTTAACCATGAAGGTGAAATCTGTCAGGGCAGGCGAGTACACAGCCCCTCCGGCACAGGGGCCCATGATGAGGGAGATCTGAGGGACGACTCCTGAAGCCAACACATTCCTCTGGGAAAGGAAAACAGCTGATTTTTATCTCTAAATCACAGGAGGTCCGCCTGCTGCCGAGAACAAGTTCAAAGCCGGACTCCAGCATACGGTGCCAGCAGGAAAGGTTTCCAAAGCTAAATTTGAATTTTCACATTCTATCATTAACTCAGATGTTGCCTATAAACCAAAAGAAGATGCATTTCTGACGATTAAACGTACCAGGAATATATCTGCGTATCCAGCAAGGGACTCCACTCCCTCCTGGATGCGAGCGCCTCCAGAGTCGTTCAGCCCGATTACGGGAGCGCCGACCGTCATGGCCTGATCCATGATCTGAGCCCGCAGAGACAACACAGCTAATATTACAATGCTGAAGTCAGGAATGTGGCGTTTAATGGCACAAGTGGACGTTTGGTTACCTTGCAGATTTTCTGCGCGTGAGCTCCGGACAAGCTGCCACCGAACACCGTGAAGTCCTGGAACGAGCAAGAGAGGAGCAAATGATGGAGGGTCCAACAAGCCTGGCGCTGCGGCCCAACAAAGAGTATAGCCTGTACCTGACTGAACACATAAACCAGCCGGCCGTTGATCCGGCCTCGTCCGGTCACAACGCTGTCACCGGGAAACTGGAAATGAGAACAAAAGATGTGTGCACACGGTTGAATAAAATTAAACCTTTCTTCATGTGGTTGCAGCTTTGGGAATGCTACCTTGTTGCCGTCCTGCTCCATGCCAAAGTCGGAGCAGCGGTGTTCCACAAACATGTCCGTCTCCATGAAGGACTCGGGGTCCAGTAAGAGCTCCACCCGCTCCCTGGCGGTCAGCTTACCCTGCAGCACGAGATGAGAATGTCAGCACAAATTGCCTAAATCTTTTGTCTTTTTTTTTATATCTCAGGTAACAAATGACATTACAGCCACGGAGTAGAAAAAGAAGAAGAGAGAGTAAGAAGGTTAAGTGATCGTACTAAAATGCAGCTTTGTTTGCATTTCATATGAGCAACAAAAAGAGACTAAAAGGTCTCAGGCTCAGTTAGAGTGAACAGCAACTTTCCCCTGCTGAAAGTAAAAACATCCCCATAGCATAATGCTGCCACCCCCATGTTTCACCGTGGATAAGGTTTATTCACTGTCCAGACGGGCATTGTTAGTTTCCCACCACACACAGCATTATGTGTGTAGGTTTGCACACACTGATGACATACCGTGCAGCTCTGACTTATAATCACATTAAATTACACACATTACGTCTGGACATCACTTTAGGACACTTTAGTGATCAGCATGCAAACAAACAAATACTTCTCCTTATAATACTGCAATGACCATGCGTTATAAAGGCGTGCATTAGAAATATGCTTTATTTAACAAGACCAAAAAAGGATTTGAGCTACTTTAGCATTGTTTTTTTTAAGTGTAAGCCATAATAACATAACCACTGAATCCAGAATGCCAAATATCATAATCTCAAAACGTTTGTTTGTAAGTTACTCAGACAGGGAGGATGGGAAATGTTCCTTGTGTGTGTGTTTGCTGACTTTACCCTTTTGTGCTGCGCATCTATTCTCTTCTGACCTCCCCCGATTAGCGCCGCCTTCCGTTTCTGCTCGATCCTCTCCTTCACGGACAGGTGGCTGACCGAGGACCAGCGACAGTGCACCTGGAGAGGGCTCTGTGGTGAGGACGCCGCCGCGGCTGCTGCGCCATACTTTATCTGCGCTAAACTCCTCAAGGAGACCCTCAACCCGCGCAACAGCCCGCAACTGCTACGAGCCACAGTGAAGGCCGCCATTGTGCCTGTGACGACAGTAGGAGGAGAGGGAGGGGAGAGAACCCCTTCAGCCAATGGCGCACTGAGGGGTGGGTTCCGACAGCCAATCAGAAAGCGCAAGGTCACAGCTGTCGTGAATGGGCGGGATTTTACGGAGGAAAACTTTGGAAAACCGTTTCCGTGAAAGCAGCAGTCTATGAAATTAAATATTGAGGCATAAATTATCTAAAACAGATCATTAAAAACGCCAGAAATCTTTTTTTATTAGTTTAATAAAAAAAAACAAACACATTTTTATATTAGTAATTAGTAAAGGATGGATAATATTTATTTATGTATTAATTTATTTGTGTGTGTGTGTGTGTGTGTGTGTGTGTGTGTGTGTGTGTGTGTGTGTGTGTGTGTTCATTTAGTTGTAAATTAAGCCAATACAACTAAAAGTGGCGAATTTGTCACTTCCACTTCGCGTTCAGCTTTTATACCTAAAGTTGCTAAAGCTTCGTCTCTGTCCTGTAACGTACTGATTTTATGGAGTTTAAAAAGCTTGATCATGGTGAAAAACAAATACATTTTATAATATTTATATATTTCTATGGTAAAGATTATTATGTATTTAATAATACATACAATAATATTTAATAATAATGTATTATTATTAAATACATTATAGTGGAGAAGAAGTAAAAGCTGTTTTACTAAAATTTCTGGGTCAGTTCATGTTTTGGTTGTTGGAGTTTCTCATCAAAAACTATTCACTAAAAACAATTAACGTTTAAATTTTTTATTATGAAGGTTGTTTTTGATTTTTTTAAAGGTTCTTTCAGTATATCTCAATTATGAGTAATACTTTATTATCTGCATCTCTGATACATTTCAACAATTAAAAACAGCCCTAATTTCTTCTTTCCCTTAATATGTGTACATTTGTTCTTCAATACATTACTTGGACGCTATGAAATCTAAACGAGTATATGGTTGTAATTTTGGCTCTAAAGATTTTAGAAAAGAAGAGAAGAAAAGTGCACAGCGAGGCTGAGGAGATGAGAAAAGCCTTGTGCAACACGACAAAAAAATAAATAAATAAATAAAAACCTGACTGTAACCAGGGTAACAGCAAGTCTCGCGTGAGGTGCATGCCTATCGAGAGGGGCTGGTGTGAAGGAAAAAAAGTGGTAAATTGTACGATTGATGCACTTATGATAATATAGCAAATTGGCTTTGGCTAGATCACAGCTCGCCAAGTATTTAAAGAAAAAAACCCTGCATCGATTGCAGGGCTTCGGGTTGCAGCTTGCATTTTCCTCCGCTGCGTAATGTATAAGACGGTCCAAGTGGGCAAGTGATACGGTTAAATCTCCGATGGCTAAGCTAATGCTAGCTCCTTAGCTTTGTTTACATCTAGTGCGCGCCCGCTGGATAATTTCCGACCGCACAAATTGGGGATTTTAACTTTAGTTCTTCATTTTATCTAACAATCCGTGCGAGAAAAAAATGCGTCGGATAATATGTAGACTCTATGGCTGCAAGTAAGTATATGCTGGTCGGGCATTTTGCTGATTATTAAGCTAACATTAGCTTCGTGATGCTAACCTTTTGATGTTGGCTCGTTCGATCATGCGGTTAGATCGTAGCCTGTAGGTTCCTTTAGATGTGTATTTTGTCGTAACACATTGTGTAATTCTCCCGACTTTATCATATTACTCAATTATGACCGTAAAAAACTTCTCGGTTAAAAAGCAACGACTGCACAACAAACCCGGGGATGCTAACTTAAGCTAGCCACCTGCTGAGCTAGCCAGCGTCATTCGCGTTCAATGAGACGGCTACACAATGTATTGTGTCCGTAGTTAATTTCTATCTTATCCTGCGTTCACGGGGTGCAGTGGGTGCCCGTTGCAACACCGGGCTGCTTTTGTTTTCGTGTCCAAGTTGGCTGTCTGTGGATACTCTCCCTCGGACGGTGTTCCCCAAGGAGCCGGGTAGCGCACCGCCATGAATCCCGTGGATGCAACCGCTCTGTATGTGTCTGCCACCCGGGCAGTGCTGCTGTGCGACCCGCTGCAGCCTCAGACCTTCGCAGAGATGTACAAGCAGCTGCCCTTCTTCCGGCAGTCCCTCGCGTGTCTTGTCTGTGGTAAGCATCCTGAATGTTTCTGACAGGGAAATATCTTTCTGTGGATTTGTTTTATGTCGTTGTTTTAATTGGCTGAAATTTCTGTGGGCTGCAGAAGTTTCCACTATTTCTCTCGTGTTCACTACTGCGGTCTCCTTAGGGTGAGATAAGCTCATCCGTCCTCTTGACAAGACGGATGACTCTGTTGTTGTGCTTGCTGCATGGCCATGTGGTTTCTATTCATGCTCTATTTGATCGCTAAGTTTTGGTGATGCAGGCTGCGTTCAAGAGAAGGAAACAGAAAAAAAAAGACACATCTGACAGATTCTTGGGAATCTTGGTTTGTGATTTTGTTTTGTATCTAAATGTCAGATAAATGGAAATTGACAGGCTGGATTTTGAAGTATTTAATTGGATTTGTTTGGTGAAAAGTTGACTCACTGAGTCACTATTGTTTTTTTCCTGTTCATTTTTCCTCCCTACTGTTACCACATGGTCATCCAGGAATGCTGCAACTTGTGAAGTTTCCTCAGATAGATTTTTTTAAATTTATTTACTCATTTGACCATTTTGAATAATCAACTGAACTTTTGGCCTTCTCTAATTTTTCCTTAAAGCTAAAAATAAGTATCAGATGTTTAATGCTTTCTTTCACAATCGACCAATCATTTTGTTGAAGTCTATTTACTGATTGTAGGAAAAAAAACCCCATCTGTTTTGTAGTTTCTAAAACCCACTGATCAGTCATTCTCATTCTGTGTAGTGTAATGTGTTGAAAATCTGAATAGCAGTAAACAGTCCTGGTGTTTTTTGTTTTTTTTTTGTTTTTGTTGTTTTTTTACATCAGGCAAACTCCTGGAGGACCCTATCTCCCCAACACACCCAGAGTGTCAGCATTACGTCTGCTTGGGCTGCAAAGGCCAGAAGATGCAGATCAGGTCGTCGTGCAGCCGCTGCAAAGACTACTCCTGCTTCCAGGAGAACAAGCAGCTCTCTTTATTGGTGCAGTGCTACCGACGGCTCTGCCTCTACATAACTCATTCGCCACTGCTCAAGTCGATCAGCAGCCACGTGGGAGGCTCTCCGGAGGTCATGACCTTGTTGGAGGAGGTGCTTGTGTCGCACAAAGAGGAGACGGAGCATTCGGGCTTAGCCGAAGAGGATGTGAATCTATCTGCTCCAGAGTCCCTCACGCCCACGGAGGCGCCACCCGCTCCAGCGGAACTCTCTGCCGTTCCTCAGAGCTCCTCCTCGGAGCCTCCGTGTTTCAACGGACCGCCGGATTGCAACGGAGAAGCGCTGGAGGACCCGTCTTCCCCCGAGCTGGAAGTGTGTGAGGTGGTAGAGGAGCAGCAGCAGCAGCATCATCATTTAGGTCTATCTGTGTCTGAAACCGCCTGCAGCGGTCTCCAACTGGGTCTGAGCACTGGACCTTTAACCCCAACGATAGGCACTGTGTGCTCACTCAGGGAGGGGGAACCTAGTACCAGGGAGCTGGAGGAGGGAGAGGTGTTGCTTCTCAGCGTGGAGGAGGTGCTACAAACGTTGGATCCCCTGCAGCCCGACCGGGACGCTCTTCACACACATCCGGAAAGGACGCACATCGCCACAGACAAAACGCACACTCACATGTACATACAGCTGGACGCAGCCCACAACTACACCCAGATCCACACGGGCAGGACTCACACAGCGGCGCACCACGCCACTCACATGCACTCTTCTTCCTTCGACCCGTCTCCCGCCTCCAAACCCCAGCAGGCCCGGCCCAACCGGAAGCGTTCGCGCTCCGAGAGCGACAGGGAAAAGGTGAACCCCGTCCCCATCACCTCCATCCTCCACGACTCGTCGCCCCAGTCGCACACTCCGACCCCCGCTCACACTCAGCACACGAAACTACCCATGCCTCCCCTGGCAGTTCCGGCGCACACGTACTCGTCATTTCCCAACGGCGCGTTCCCCAAGCACAGCCGCCCCGCACAGAACCACAACAAAGGCGCCAGGAAACACGTGGACCCGAGCTCCAAGAAGCCCCACGCCAAAGCCCGCAGCGGAGGAGGCTCCAAGACGAAAGACCGGAGCAAAGACCAGCGACCGATGTCGGGCTGCGTCTTGCCAGCGCCGCCCGTCAGGCCTCCGTACAAGAAGCCGGTGGAGAAGAAGGGCTGCAAGTGTGGCAGGGCCACTCAGAACCCATCTGTTTTAACCTGCAGGGGGCAGCGATGTCCCTGTTACTCAAACCGCAAGGTGAGACCACTTTTTCAGAGTGGAGGCGCTTCTGCTTTTAAATCTTTGGAGGGTTTTGTTTATGGAGCTACTGAGAGTGCACATATGTCCAGTTTTACAACAATGTTGTGCTGTTTTGTGCAAATTATTTGTCTTGTCTCCTGCACGATGGAAACCATCGTAATAATTCAGCAGCGGTTCTCTGTTCCGCTGAGCAAATGACTAAATAAGTAAGAGTATAATTGAATTATTTTTCTCTGCAATTTAATAAAAAAAATTCTACTTATTACGATGTAGGTTCATTACACACAGAGTGACATGTTTCATGTGTTTGAGTCAACGGTTGTGGTTCACAGCTATTAAAGATGTATAAAACATGAATATTACATTTATATAAGACCAGTAGAAATGTTCTGCTTATTATTGAAGGTTTATCAGTTTCCTAGACACAAAATGTCATAAGTAATGATGAGGAAGCAGGATTTGCACAAGTTTTTTTTTTTAGTTTTTTTTTTTACCCCAAGCATATTCATGAAAACTTGAGTGGAAGGAAAATCTACAAAAGCACTGTTACTAGACATAGACTGTGACTGGAGTCAGTTTTTCAAGAGCCACCACACTCAGATGTAGACAATGGCTACAGCTGTGACACAACAACTATTTTAGTAATCGCTTATTCTATGAGTCGGTCGAATGATTAATCGGGTAAAACAATTGCCACATCCTGCAGGTTTTAAGCCCTTTTTATAGTCTATTAGAAATAAGTAAAAAAAAAAATGCAAATAAACAAATAATTCAGTTCATTTTTAAAATAACAGAATAAACATTTTACCAAATATGCATTAACAAAGCGATCTTTATCTGATTAGTAAATCCATAGCAAAAGGAGCATAATAGGATATATGCATATTTAACTAAGGATTTTTATTATTTACTGCTTTGAGTATGTTCTTCAGCAAGTGGCCCTTTTGTAAGTATGTCTGATAAAAATTATGGAGTCTGTATATTCACGAACTCCAGGTAAGACTAATTGTTTATTAAATAAGTTGACTATTATTTGAACAATGGAGAACTCACGATTAATTTGATTGATCGCTTGAGCCCTAGAACCAGAGACATCAGAGTAGCACTGAAAAAGGACTCGACTGCTGCTCAGTGGTCCAAAGCCGCTTTTGCGTTTCATTTGGAAATGCATTTTTATAACATTCAGAATCAGCGCATCCGTCTCCCGTTACATTTCAGAGCACTTCATGCTTCCCTCTGCTGACTGACAGCTGGAATCAGCTGGAGATGCTGATTCCCTTTTCCAGCAGGAGTTGGCACCTGCCTGCCCACACTGCAAAAGGTGCCAAAAGCTGGTTCAGTGACCACGGCGTTACTGTGACTGACCTGAACCGCGTGCACGCTCTATCAATGGAGTATTTTTGTGAAGAGGAGAATGAGAGATGCCAGATCCAACAATGGCTTCATTTCATTGTTGCTGTAATTCAACAGAAATGGAGCAAGTGCAGATGCTGTATAGTACATGCATTTCTCAGGGAAACGACATCTACGCGTTAAAGTTTTTTTTATTATCACCGTTATGATATTCTAATGATTCAGCATTGCGTTCTTTATTAGAGATAACTCCGGATGACTAAAAACAAATGATCATAGTATATCGCTCTGTGTGGAATGAAACTACGTGTCCTATGACTTTAAATTTCTTTTAACTGAAGACACTGTAATGAACGTGTGGTTGGTGTTTACTGAGTGGCAACAGCAGAGGTTACGTAGTTTGAGTGCAGCGCTCGTGCGTTCTGTCCGAGTTGCGTCATCTTCTCTCGTCTTCCCCCAGGCGTGCTTGGACTGTATCTGCCGGGGCTGCCAGAACTCCTACATGGCCAACGGCGAGAAGAAACTGGAGGCCTTCGCCGTGCCCGAGAAGGCCCTGGAGCAGACGCGGCTCACCCTCGGCATCAACCTGACCAGCATCACGGCGGCCGCGGCTCTCCGCAACCCGGCGACCACCAGCATCCGCGCCAACACCCTCCTCAACGTCGCCACGGCCACGGGGACCCCCGTGACCACGGCCTTTCTGTCCGCCAGCCCGCCGCAGGATGCCAACTTTGACGACAGCTTGGAGCTGCTGATTGGCTGATAGGCAGCAAAAACAAACAAACAAAAAAACGACAACACAGCGTGGTGCTGATTGAATGTGACGGCTGATTATCCACCCGTTTCCGCCGGCTCTCTTAGGGAGGAACTCGACTCATGGCAGCTACGTGTCTGTCCTGTTCTGTAACCTGCTGGTTTTCTGTACTGGAAAACGCTAACTAGTGAGATTAGCATGGGTGTGCCAAAGCCTCCTGTATTGTGCCTGTGCACTGGTGTGTATTGTTGCCAGTCTGAAGGTATATACTCTATTCCAAGGATGTTCTGTTCTTCACAGGTGCTTTCTTTTTTTTCAGCTTATAGACCACAGATTTACTGTAAGAGGCAATAGAAACCCATTCCAAGTTTTGTTCATTTGCACACAAATATGTGCAGATTTTTAGTCTTTTTACAAAAAAAAAAAACACATCTGTCAATAGCGTAATTTTTTATTAAGATTTCATCTTCAGCATTGTGAGTGTCACTCCTGAAAATATTAAATGTGTCATGTTATCAGGACCCCTTCCTAGTCCCTGACCCCGTACACGAGCAAACTTTAATTTTGAAATCAGACTAAGCGTTACACCCTGTCTAAATGCTCTCAGCTGTTTGGGGGTTTGTTTTAAACAGCATGCTTTTTATTTGTCATGAGATCATCCTGAGGTGCATGCCCCGTGTTGGAGGTGAACAGTGAGTTTTTATCATCATAGCAATAGGAACACCCAACAGGGGGGGGGGGGGCTCGCTGCTCCTGTGGCTGCATTTGCCAGTCATCAAAAACTTAACTCACTTGTACATGACTGTATGTGTATAGAGGTAAACTGAAGCCATAGTTCTATCAGAAAGTTTCCTTTAAAAAAAATAAATAAAAATTCTCCCGCTTCCCCAACACATTCACACGAAGAGTCCTGATCAATCGGAGATTATACCAGATTTATTTTTGATACTGTTGGAGGTTTGGTATCCAAGTGTTTTGGTTACGTCACAAAGAAACGATTCACGAGGCCGAGTGTTGTCTGTGTTTGTGTTTACCTTCTCGGCTGTAACTCCAACATGTCCGTCAGTCCAGTATTGGTGATCAAAAGAAAAAAAATAAACTGAACAGAGAGAAAACACAACTTCTCTACTCATGGACCAGGAAAGTAGCAGGTGGACTTTAAGTTTGATCAGCAGTCGTGTCGTATATCTTCCTCTGTGTGCGTGGGTTTCAAAGATGTATTTTTTTGGGCATTACTTGAACCCTTAATTTTGATTTTTTTGTCTTTCTTTTTTTTTTGTAATGTAAAAGTCTTGTTTGGGGAGTGACAGTTATTTGCTGAAACATTCACTGCCATATTATGGAGACATGTAACAACATGAATTAAAAGATAGTTTTTTACTTTTTCAGCTTTGTGTGTTATTGTGTGGACAGACGTGATTAAGGCAGGAGTTTTTCCTCATTTTTTTTCATATTATGTAGGTCAGAACTTGTTTCATCGTTTAGATTCAAGGCATAGCTTTCGTCTAAATACATTCATCTTAGTCAGAAAAGTTCCATTTTGGGCTTGTACTCATCATTTTAGATGCATTTTCAGTCCACCCTAAAAAAGAACTGTTCAAAGTATCGACCGACTAATGAATATAATAAAAAAATAAGTATGACTTACTGAAAATTGAGATTTGTAGTGCAAAATGGTTCATATCAAATCAGAAATTTGAGATTTGCTGAGAAAACAAACCCATAATACACTAAGCTCAACATAATATCTATAGTTTTTACTTCGTTTTACACCCTGAGAAAAAAAAAGTCAATTAAATCCTTTTATCAGTATGAATACATTTGTAAACAATACCATATACGAGTTTGTGTCCATCGCTGGAAAAAGTTGAAAGGTTACACAGTGACGTCCATTTGGTCAGTTTCCGACAGAGAGCAATCCCAATGTTTGCAATTCAGTTTCTCCAACTTAATCCATGTGCGTTCTTATTTCCAGCCACTGCTACATGTGATCAGTGCTCACAGGTCACTGCTGGACTATATGCACAGCATAAACAGCTCATCTTCATTCCTTTTTGAGGGGCGGTGCATTCAGAGTTTTCCTCTGCAGTTTAGAGCGATCCCAGCTCCACTCCATAAGAAGATCTTCTCGTCTTCCAGCCCCGTTTCTTCCCATGGTGACTGATGTAGTCTACCGACGACTCCGGAAAGCCTCAGTTAATGCCGTTAGTCCACCAGGAAAGCCCCAAAGTAGCTCGCCCTCCCGTCCATTTCCATGGCGCTGGCGTTGCTGACGGTGACGAAGAGGCGGTCGGCTGGCTGCAGGAAAGCAGTGCCGGCCTGATGCAGGGAGAAGAGGCCTGGCTCCTGACCCCGAGGCCAGCACACGCTCCGGGACGATTTCATCAACAGGATGGGTCCTGTGTAGGAACTCATCTGCAGGGGATCAAACGGCAATTTAAATGTCATCGCCGCTGCGTCCGTATTTCATTATCTACTGATACAAAAGCTGAACCTTTTTATAAATGTACTGGACGAGTTCTGCTCCCTCATCGTCTGCTGCTTCCCCGTCCGTCTCCCCCACAGACGGAAGCCTAAAGTAGGTCTGGGCGTAGATGTAGTACAAGCCTGCAGTTGGTACGAGCAGCTCCCCTCCTTTAAGCTCCATGTTCTGCAGGAAGGACAGACCCCTCTGGCCCTCCCACGCTCGGATGCGCTCGCCAGAGTACCCCCTGCTGCTCCGCGGGCCTGCAACAGCACCAACCATGGTCAATTGGAGGCCCGTCCCCAGTCATCGCGGATCATTTGGGAGTGCAAGAGCCAGCGCTAAGTGTATACAATCACCACAGGAGAAAAGTGCAGAGCCAACTGCAAAGGCTTGTTCACAGAGTACACAATGTTACCAGATGTGCCCACAGACACTGTATCTTTAAAGAAATCATTGAACTGAAATAGGAACAAAGATGTTATTAGTTATAACGCTGCCAATAGTTAAAAGCATTGTAACATCTAAATTCAAGCCAGATTAAGAAGTTATGTCAAAATTAAACATAAGCAAACAGATCATTTAAAATCTGGAGCCATGTGTAGAAATTTTAAGTCATTTGAAAATGACTTGTCTCACCATCAGTCCTACCATCAGTCCTACCATATACAGGAAATGATGTCACGAGTGTACTTTGATAGCAAAAATTGTGGTATGAAGAGGAATTTTTTTTTCTTGGAATCTTGCAAAGCAGCATATTTTTATTTTTTTTGTACCAAGAACCGAGGTTTCATATTTGGACATATTGAATGACTTCATTCAATTTCACGGCAATCTATCAACACCCCTTTTTAAAATTTATTACACTTCAAAAATTCCAACATATACTGTACCCTTTCCAGAAATGCACAAAGAGCTACACAGTGAAGGAATTCTGTGGGATAGACTAAGTATCCCACAAAATAGCTTTAAGCTTTACCGTTAATCTGTAATTTAATAAATATATAAACAATAATAAGAAAAAAATAATTAAAGGAGAATTTAATTAGGTTTCTAAATACATATTTCAATATTTTTGCATGTAGTTCAATGAAGACAGGGTGAAGTGACTGATAACACTGCCAATCAGTAAATAAAAAAGTCACTTTGTGCTATTGTTTAAATTCTTTGCAATGACATCCAGCCACTCGCAAAACATTAGCTTATGTCATGCTTTTATAGTCTTAAATACATCAAAAGTAAAAGTCAGTGCCACTCAAACCGGAGAACTTACTTTACCCCAAAAGGGGGTGTGAATGTTGTGCAAGGAGAAGCATGGGAGAGGTCTTGAATCCATCATGTACTCTAACAGTTAGCAGATATGAGTAAAATAAATAACGTGTGAACTTAAAAAGCAGAGTGCCACCACCAAGACAAGAAAGAGTCTAAGTCGTCAATTGCTGTGCAAGTAAGGAGGAACAGTGATTTTGCATGATTTATAAGTGATTTTTTTTTTTTAAAGCTCAGATTTTCTGAAACTTGGTTTCTTGAACATGTCAAGGTGTGCATTGTATCTACAGTCACTAGATCTCAACCTAACAGTTGAGATCAAAAAGATCCTCCATGTATTTATTTTATTTTTTTGATGAGCTGGACAAAAAGAAGGCTGAATGCTAGTGTGATGTTTTCTAAAATCATAACGTTTTTCTGGTGTTTCGAACGGGAGCTGCAGGTCCCGACAGACCCAGGTATGAGGAGGTAACCGAATCTGAGCACCTCGGATTGCCCGGAGGCCAATTCCTCACCTTTTGCCCCGGAAAGGAAAGCTGAGCATCGTCAAGATTTTGCATTGAAAACGAAGCCTCTCTGACAAACTTTCACTTGTGCTGTCAATGTCTCAATTTGTGCTAAATGTTTTTGCCTAAAGCCACAATAAACTGAATCTTACTTTCTGGTGCTGCTGGAGCCTTCGACGATGAGGTAACCCCGGTCACATGGGCAGCGACTTTAGGAAGAGGGACCCCACGGACCCCAGGGCCCAAGATAGGCAGCACTCCTGTCAACTTATCTGTAGGAAACCCAAAACAGACAGAAACAAAACACTCACCACAGGGCATTTTTAGTGGGAAAAGTCACACACAAGCCTGTTATTAGTCAATAGGGGGATTGTTCTTACTTCTCATAGCAGTGGATATCTCCCTCTGGAATCTGTCAGCAATCTTCTGCAGAGAAAACAGAGAAAGGCAGAGGAAAGAGCAAATGAATTGACCAACAAATGATCTATTATCCCAAACACAATGGCATTTTTAACCAACTACATCATATTCGGTATTTAGTAATTCACCAGAACTGATAAGGATCCCACAGTAGTTGATGGAACGTGTCAGATTGTGGTCTAAATATGGGATGTTCCAAAAAGAAACACTAAAATACATATCCTCAGTTGGGTTTATAATATTCAGTGACAGACATTTTCCCCCCCAACATATTCCCTTTAAAAGATGCAAAATGAGGGTAATTTTTTAAAATAAAATAGAGCTATAAATGGTTAGGAATGTTGGCAAAATAGTTAAAAAAAAAAAACAGTCAAACCTTCTCGATGTGGTAGTGGAGCTGCTGTGTGACCTGCCAACAGGGATCACTGCTTTTCCTGCCCTCGGCTGCTGGGTCCTGGAACTCTGGCTGCAGCTTCGCATTTGTCAGACAGGATACGCTGCTCCGGGAAAAACTGTCCTGCATCTGGAAATTTAAAATAACTCAGTTGATGAAACTTAAAAAAAAAAAATGGGGGAGGGGGCTTTCAAGAGACATGTTTAGCTGCATTATGACTCAGATTACTTGCTGGGGTAATCTGTCAGGGTACATGACAGATTACACACTGCAGCTTTTAAACGATTTACAGTGCTGGGCAAAAGTATTTTTTACATTTAATCATTCTACTACCAGAATGTGCAATAAATGTCCCTGGGATTTTATCTGACGAGGCTGACACAAAAAGTAGAGAATGATAGTCAAGATCCAAATCTTCCACATGTTTTTTCAGAAATTAGTGAAGACGCTTAAAAGAAGGATAACAATGATTAATCCCCCAACTTTTCAGGTCTAGCACTCAAAGTGAAAAATTTCAAAAGCGTTTAGATTGTTGTGAAGATAACTAGCTTAACTGTTTTTTTTTTTAAAGTTATTTCATATTATGCAACGCTTTGGTAACTTACTAATAAAAGTAAATGCGCCACATCAAACTGGCTGCCATTTTTAGACGCAACCAGCCAAACACACTAACATTAAACAAAACAAAAAAAACAAAACAAAACAAACAAAAAAAAAACGTAATTAACTCATAAGTGGTCCCAGGTGTGATCGATGATGGGCGGGATTTTACTACCAAAACCAGCCAATGAGGGCCCAGAACAAGAGACGTCAGCCTTGTCTCAACACTTGTCACGAGCGCCACACTGACCTATTCAAGCTTGCGATACGTGTTGCTTTTGTGTACCACGGCCCATTCAGCGCGAACAAATCCCATTTCCTCCCATTGTTTCAGGTTATATACTCGCCCTACTGTCTCCGTTTTTATTATCCGGTGTTGAGCAGAAACTCCCACAGGAACCTAAACACGCCGCCACACTCCGTGACCGCGAATAAAGTCATTCTGGTGCGTTTGGTGCAGTGGGATAACCGCGGTACGCGTCACGTTTGTTTGCAAAGTGACGTTTTTTTCGATCGGCTTGATGACCCAGCGTGATATGTGCGCGCGCGCATGGACCCTTCCATGCCAAAAGTTCGCCGTTTCACTGCAGCCATTAAACGCAGCGGAAGAAGCTGGTGCAACCACCTCGAACACAACACGGCCAAACGCACGTCTTACCGTGTTCAGGACTTTGTGGAAGTACATGAAACTTATGGCCACCGCGACCGTCTGGAGGAGGATAGCTGCGAGTATGGTGAGGCCGAGGCACTGGAGAGAGACAGAGATGGCCATTGTCACAGAGCGCGGAGACACCTTGACGTCCGGCGAAGTGGGGGGATCACCTCCAGCCGCTGCACGGCAAGTTTGATCAAACACCTCTGCGTTTCTGCTGGGAAGCATGAGGGTGGGAGGAACAGTGCAACAGAGGCTGGAGGTGGAGCAGAGAGGAGGCTTGGAGAGTTTCAGCTTCCTCAAGATGTCACTGTTATTGAACGTATCCGAGCTCGGAGCGTTGAACGCTGCTGCGTTTCATTGGAATGATTTTCCATCGTGAAGCAATACAGCAAACGACTCAATACAGTCCCTGATTTAGGCTTGTTTCCTGTAGAAAGTACTAACTAAAGCAATTTTTTATGTTTGGTAAGAGATTGTCATTTACCCGATTAATCCATAGGTACACAATTTATTTTTGTACTTCAGTTTGAAAAGTGAATGATAATAATAAGGGTTTTTAAAATAATATTGTGAGCTTTGAAAAGTATGACCATATAGTATGTTTCAGAAGTTGGGGCTCTTGATGCATAATTTACTGCATCAATGTGGAGTGGCATGGAGGAGATCACTCTCTGATTCTTTTTAGGGTTTAGGTCAGGTTAGGTCACCGGCCAGTTAAGTACAGTGATGCCAAAGCGAATTGCTCTCCTAAAAACATTTGCCACACATGAGAGCTGACTTCAGATTGAAAATAAATAAATAAATAAATAACAGTGGACCAGCATCAAGAGATGACATAGCTCCCCAAATTATCACAGACTATGCAGACATCAAAATCAATCTGGTTGTCTCTGTTGTAGGGCTGGCTTAACAAAAATAAGTACTGACTAGCTGAAGTCAACACCTTGTGATTCTTCAGTAAGCGTTGTTTCTCAGTCTTCCTTGGACTGAAATGAATTTTTTCCTTTGACTTAACTTTATCTACCTATCTATTCTATCTTGCTAGCTAGCCTATAAAAAGGTTGATTTAAAGTCTATAGGAAGTGACATTGTATTTTTTAAAGTCATAAGTAAGGAGATGAAATCCTGAAAACGTATTCATTTTAAAAGCTTAAAAGATCTGGCACCAGAAGAATGACTTCAGAATATATTAACAGTTTTGATCATGACAGTTCATAAACACTGCATGATAAAAACGTTTTCATCTTTTCGGAATAACTCGCTTTAATTTGAAGGCGTCCTGCGGAGATGTGTGCATATTCATGGAAAAAGTCTAATTTATGACATTTTACTACATTAGCTGCCTTCATTGGAACATAACATTATCAATGTGATGCACAAATCATTTTTTTTTTTTTTTTAATGAATGACCCAATGTGTATTGTAGACCTTTTACATGCAACCGTGTGACTTTTGTGGCTTAGATCCAGCACACATAGTTGTTCAAAAGCATCTAAATTACAAGTGGAAGAAAAACAAATTCCCCTTTCTACTGTATCCAGCCATTGTGAGGCGATTTAACTGATCAGAGCCGAACGACTTGCGATTGTTACGACTTCGGTTCAGCCTTGGGTTGAGCTCGTCACATGGGAACCATTCGCTGTGCCCTGCTTAACCTTGAGTGATTCCTGAGCTTTCATTTCTTCACCTCTAGTCTCTCCCCCATTGTTGGAGCGGGGAAGTGGGAGTGGAGCTCCTGGATGCGGACGGCCCACTAAAAACAATCAAAACTTGCGTGGAAGCGTCTTAAATGCTCTCGCATCAACACGCAAGCATCAATCGTGCTCATGCAGTCGCAACAGATGCTGAGGTAGCGCAGACAGGTGTAGACAGGTGACTAATCTGCTTCACTTTGATAAGTCGAACAAACACAGAGAGGCTTGTTGTCTTCACATATCGGGAATTTAAGAAAAAAAGCAGAAGAGGAGGTGGTAAATCCATGAAACAAATCAGTTCCCAGGCTTGCCAGAGCAAAGGAATGAGGGAGGAAAGTGATACTTGAAGGCTTTTTAGCCTCGGGCGTGGAAGATGACACGATGAGAGACATGCCTGTCTACTGTCCCTACAGCAGGCAGGCCTCCGAATGTTGATTTTCATTCATCTGTTCCACATCGATGTTGTTATTGTGAGGCATGTTCTTTCTGAGAGTAAGAATGTCCAATTAACTATAACTTTGCACACATCAAAGTTATAGAAAAGGTTAAAAAAAAAGAAAAGAAAAAAAAAGGACTCTAGCTTGAGAAATAAACACGGGTGAGATTTCACAAGTGGTTTGGCTCTGTTCCGGTAGCAAGACAGGTTCATCAAGGATTTTTGTGATCAGACTTTCTTCCTTTGTTTTTCGAGTGAGTACTTGCACGTCAGCACAAGCATGAGTTTGTGCTCAAAATAGCAGCAGTGCAACATCAGTAGCCAGATCAATCTGATCTGGCTGCTTGATAGGTGGCAAAGTAATAGGAAACCAACAGATCCAACATGCTTCATGCTGATGCTGTGTGATTGAGTCATAGTTTAATACACAGCAGATACTCACCAGGACCCCCCCAATCCAGAGGTTCATAACTGCAGTGAGGCCCTTATAAAACTTTGCATGTTCCCCAACTCAATTGGACCAAGTAGACGAGAATTACCAGGTTTTAAGAGTTTTAGTCCAACTTCTATATGTGTAATAGGCGTTTAGTTTCTTTTCAGACTTTTAATTTTGTTCGTTATTCCTATATTCTAGCTATTTGTGATATCTATTGCAATATTTTCCTTTAGTTTCCAATTTTACCTTCTATGCCTTGTTCCTAGACGAATTTCCTCACCCTCACATTGCACTGGAGGCCTCCTACTTCCTGTGCGACTGGAGTTGCACAGGAAGTAACACTCACGGAGACTGTTTAAAAAAAAAAAAAGAAAAAAGGTTGAATGCAAATTTGTAGCCTGCTTGAAAAATTGAGAAAATGAACCAGCTTCGCCCCCCACCCCCAAAGCAGATCATAATACCCCAAAGACAATCAAGGACGCTCCATCCACCCTCTCCTGACCTCCACTCCTTTTTTTTTTCTGCCCCAAAGGCTTCCCCTCCCTGAGTCCCTCTGAGTGTGGAATCTCCCTGAATTCCTGAACGAGGACAGCAGCTGCTCATCGGCTCACAGGCAAAACAGAAGGAGCCGAAAAGCAGAGCACTGGGTGTGCTGATAGTTGTTGAAGCGGTGATTATATCAGGTACAGCAGCCCCCCGTGGGGAGAAGCAACGCAAGTTTATTCATTTTAACTTGAATAATTCTGGTTCACAGGAAATTCACACAAATATTGTGCAGTTATGTTAGTAGTAAAAGCAGATGGCTGACTGGTTTCTATAGGTATAGATAAATGCGACAATTTGTCTGTCTTCCATTTTTGTAAAAAAAATAAATATAAAAACACGCCTAAAAGTTTCTCATCAGTGAATTTAAATAAAAAAGAAAACACTTTGTCACACAAGTACATGTAAAATATACTACTCCATGCTTGGCTGCGTTCTTAGCTGTGAATCACCCAATGTGGTAAATAAAGTAAAAGGCGTAGATTTCTTTATATCCAACAAGGGGCGCTGTTGCATTCTCTTTTGAATTAAGTATTTCCTTTTTTAGTTTTTGTTTAAGGACTCATTATTTGAACAAAAAACTTCACATAAATAGCATTCATTTATTCATTCCTTTAATTCAAGCATCCATTATTGAAAACCTGGCAAACACACGGAGCATAAACTTGTCACATAAACCCCAAAATCTTGATTATCAGACTAATGGCGAAGGCTTGCTGCATGACATTTGCACAGATTTCCCCCCCAAGAATATTTATGTTCATGTATGCGGATTCAAAGTTTTATTTACTTACTCATAAATCTGAGACATTTCTTAATTTCAGACTTGGAAAAATACAACACAGTTTAAAGACAATAAAATTATTCTACTTAGTGATTATCAAACTAACACAAAAAAATGACCTTAAATCACCTTTGGTAATTGCAGGAGTGTTTGCAATGGACAAAAATCAAATTCAGTCTCTCTTTTTTTTTTTTAGACGTTTACAGTGCTTTGCAAAACTATTCATACCCTTGACATGTTTTCTCAGATTTTTCACATTTTATGTCTTAACAGAGCAGCACATACATGTTGGAAAATATGTGATTTATAAATATTTTATAACAATTAAAAATCTGAAAGGCGTGTTGCCTTTAACCCTTTTTAGTCTGATCTGAAGCCCCTAAATGAAATTCATTACAACCAGTTGCCTTGAGAAATCAACTGATTTGTTAAAGGTTACATGTGCGTCGTTTTATTTATAAGTGCAGTTCATTGTGTGAAGGACTCGGCATCATGAAGACCAAGGAACAACACAAACATCCAGCCTGAGCTGCAAAGGTCGATAGGTATTTGTGTGTTAGACTGGCCCAGTCAAAGCCCAGACCTACGTTCACCATGTAGTAACTATTTTGTAAAAGAAAAAAAAAAATCTTACTAGCAAAGTTGGTAGAAAAAGAGCCCCAAAAGACACAGTGGAAGGTGAGCCATAAAACTCCAAGGGATGTGGACACTATTGCAAGCCACTGCTTAGCCAATCAAAAAAACACCAAAAAACCAAGTGCAATACACGTCGTAATAGGTAAAGTGCAATCTGCTCGTGATTGTTGAGGGTAAAGAGATCTGGTAATGACACATATTACAGCTAAGGTAAACAACGGTTTCATTTTTCTTTAGATATGAATAATAAAGTCAAGTTTTGGTCATATTTGAGACTTGGTGATAATGGCAATAGCTGCAACTGTAGGAGATCAGATGTTGCATAGCACTCTGAGACAAACGACATCTAAAGGAATTAATTGTATATACTGCTTGGTGTCAAATATCTCAAAGTAATTCATCATTTGTGTGTTTTACAGCTGATTAATTGATAGAAAACTTCTTCATTCATTGCTTAGCTGGTTACAGCGTTGGACTGCTGATGGCGACTAACATCTGCAGACGACAAATTTCACTTGTATAAAGTTTGGATTTCCATTAATCTCTAGGCCCTGAGCTGAACAAAGAGAAAACGTGCAAGCCCTTCGGTCAGACCAATTTTACACAGCATACATACGGAAGCTGAGAGCAAAACATTTTCCACATATACTTTTTGCCAATGGTTTTATCGAGATGAGTTATCTACAAATGCACACCATTGTGACATGCATTTGAGGGATAGACTAGTGTTTAAAGCACACACACACAAATCATCTTGCGATCTCGCAAAAACTAGGTGCGTTTGTCTTGAGATTAACTTACCTTGAGAAAACCATTGGGGAAATTAAGTCCCTATCTCGAGAAAATGGGAAAAAAGTTTAAACAAAAACGTCTGCTCTTGACTTCCGTGTGTGCGTATGTTCAAGCTACAAGTTGTTCTGCAGCCAGGTCATGTAGCTCCTCAGTGCCCTCTTCCCCACATCAAAGTCCAACGGCCAGCTGGTGAAGGTCAGACATCCGTGGAAGCCGTCCTCGTAGTAATCGCTGGTGACCGACACTCCGGCGTCCTTCAATCTCCGGGCGTACATCAGCCCGTCATCCCTCAGCACGTCGAACTCGCATGTTAAAATGTACGTACGAGGACATTTGGCCAGCACCTCTGGTCCAGCCAGCAGAGGCGACGATCGCGTGTCCAGCAACCCCGGTATCTTCTTCAGCAACCCGTGAGAGTCTCTCTCCACGACGACAGGCTTGTAGCTTTTCTTGAATTTCTGAGAAAGCAGCGAGGTCCAGTCCAGTCGAGACCTCAGCTCTGGGGTGAGGGCCGAGTGTTGCAGGGCGCTGTGGTTGTTCGCTATGAGCTGGGGCTGCAGGGAGATGTCGGCGCCGAGGTACTGCAGCCAGAACTGGACCATGACTTGGCGAGGAAGGATGGCCATATCCCGGTTCTGCACATAGGAGGGTGTGTTGAAATCCAGAGCCTGGAGCACTGGGTAAATCAAAGCCTGGACACTGAATTTCACAGAAACACTATCATCTGTAGCAACCTGGAGAAACACAGACACTCAGAAATGTAAATTTCATTTGAGCTTGCAACTGGGGGTCACATGAATCCGAGATCCTGGGTTCTGCGAGTACCTCCTGAGCTACGGCGGCAGCCAGATTTCCTCCAGCGCTGTCTCCTGACACAGCAACACGCTCGGGGTCGATAGCGTACTTGTCCAGAACCTCTGGAGATAAGAAGTGTTTGGCAGCAGCGACACAGTCTAAAAATGGCTCTGGAAAGAGGACCTCTGGAAACAGACGATATCTACACCCGTTCAGAGAAAGTTTTAAGAGTTAGCGTCACTGAATAACAGTGAGGTTTTGTCACAACAATCCTGCTTCTAAAGAGTTCATAATCCTTTGTAACCCTTGTAGCGACACTCTTCAAATCCTTGGAAGTGTCGCTAAAGAGTTTATAGGGTAAGCTTCACCCCAGATTCTCAGTGAGATTTTGGTCTAGACTTTGACTGGGCCACTTGAACAGAAGAATATTGTTTGATTCCAACCGCTGCATTGTTGCTCCTTGGCAAGTTTGAAAGGCATGCGTCATTTTTCTTCCCCTTCATAAGTACGGGCTTCTTTGATTTTTTTTTTTCTGCCAGTAAAACATTGTCATTGTATTGCAGGATCACAAAATGGGAAAAAGTTCAAGGGATTTAGATGCTTTTGCAATGCACTGCACCGCCAATTGGAGGTCTTGCAGTGCGTCACCTACACGGTACACAGTATAGAGTCAGAAGAAGAGATAAACTTACTCAACAGAGACGACCACGGTGTTGAGCTCATCAGAAATCATGCGGCTCACTTTATCATACGCACCCATCTCTGAGGGAAGAGAGGACAATATTTTCCAGGTAAAGCATATTTTTTTAATGTGCAAAAGTAAAACCTTTCTTAACTGATTTGTGGCATTTGCTGAAGGAGCCAAGGTGCTGTAAATATATACATATAAAAAAATTCTCACTCCCACTGCCAAACGCCCAGCCACCTCCGTGGAGATACATCAGGCCTCTCCTCAGGTGACCCTCCCCTCCGGCTGGCGGCTCGTAAACCCTCACGGGGATGCTGGCGAAGGTGATGTCGCTGATCTTCACACCTGGGACGACCCCCGCAGGAGACCTGGAGCCCATGAGCGCCACCATCGTCGAGTCTAAGCCCTCCATCGTGCGTCTGAATGATGTGATGTAATGGTCGGTACCCAGGTGGTATTTCAAAGCAGCCTAAAGACAGTGAGACAACCCCACCCCCCAAAAAACATCTCAGATGATGGAGGCCATTGACAGGAAAAGACATCCGACCCAGTGACCTCTGTTGTCCTGTAATACAGAGTGTCTCAATACTCGTCCTGCATGGATGCCAGAAGGCGCCCATTTTGGCAGGGACTGAGTTAAGAATCAGTACATGAGGTACTGATTCAGGACATGAAAGATATGAACAACGCTCTGCTTTATTTCAAAGAAAATGCTTTTTTCTTACAATGTCCAACGGCTTCACAAAACACAGCTGTGGTTCATTTGGAAAAACAAAAAAAAAAACTAAGTACACTCTAGCTGCTTCCACCGCACTTAAGATGGAAAGAACCATATATGTTCTGCTCATTAAAAGCTCTAAAAACACAACAATCCTGCAAAACTTGCCTCATTTCTTGACAGTTTAACACTAAACGCTTCTGCAAAAGGCCTGTGTTGCTTTTCTTTGAAAGCAGCACATTCGCCTCAACTAGTTAGGCAATCCTGATGTTCCTCTGCCTGAACAGTGTGTATTTCCCAATATGGAGCAAAGGTCAAGTTCAGGAGAGTTTCTTCATGGCACCGTCAGAATGACTTTGCAGCTTTGCACTGTGACAAATATTGCTGCAGTTCAAAATTTGTGCAGACATTGCATTTCTCCGTACACACTAGAGATGCACTCTGGGAATAGGTTGCACTAAATAAAACATACAAGTATAATTTAACTGTGCAACAGCATTTAGCAGCAAAAAAAAAAAAAAAAAAAGTGAGATTGAAAAATATGACCTCATACCTACTCTCATTCAGGTCAAAGTGCAGCTGAAATCGTAATCAATACCCCGGGAAAAGTTCAGTGTTATAAAACAAACAAACAAAAAAAAAATCTAATGCCATTTATTTAAAGCATAACAAAAGATGTAGAGAATGGAATGGAAGCCTCACATTTCTGCTTGCAGCCTCAGAAGGCAGGGAACGCATCCTCTCTTACCAGGTTCCTGACGGTCCTGAACGCAGCATCCACAGCCATCAGCTTCCAGGGCTGCTGGATGGCGTCAGGCACCGGGGTGTAGATGTAGTAGGAGAGCGCTGCCGCCAGCAGCACCGTAACGACCACTGCCTTCAGCCCCATCTCGCTCTGTCCCTCAGGGTCAGTGTCCTCTGCGTCCCGCAGCCTGCTGGGACCCAGACGTGAGTCCCACACGCTTCATTTGTTTGGGGCTGGAAGGAGGCACAGGTGCTTCCGCTCGAAGCCTTTCACATGAAGGCGCTTATTTCAGCTAAGTTTTTGAAATGCATTCTTATACATATGTAATAAAGCAATATATATAATGTTTATTTTTTTTATTTATGTAATTGTCTTGACACATAGTGATGGTCCTGTAACTTACAGGATCGTGTTAAGACAATATCTAAGACTTTTACTTTGAAGGGACGGTGTAGAAACACGTTTGTTTCTGGGACGTTTGCAATGAAAACATGAAAAAACTGAAAAGAGACATAAATATTATTTGCAATTTATTGCATTTTTTGTTTGTTTTGTTTTGTTTTTGGAAAGAGTTTAGCATGTTTATTGATAACATTTTTAGGAGTGTTTCCATGCAAATATTTCTGTGAATTATTTCTACTTATTTGTTTGCTAAATCTGCTCATACACGTCTTTAAATTAAAACCTCCTCTTCTTCCCTTTCTTAAGGATGTGACCCAATGTAAAATCAATAGCAGACTACAAACAGCAAAGGCACTCAGAGAGACAGTATTTGTCACATGAACACATTAATGGTTGTTTATTATAGACGCCCTGTTCTTCTATGTGCTTCATTCGTTTGTTTGTTGTGAAATAAAGTTTCTTGGGGGAAAAAAAAGAAAGACGTGGGACATGAAAAAGTGTAAAACAATTTCTGACCACAGAGGGGCGCTGTTGGGCTGCAGATAGGACAAAGTGAGAGACGAGCTGAGCCTTTAAATTCAAATCTGTTGGAGAGATAAATCTGAACCTCTGTCATAAATTTGTGAAGATTAGAAAGATTAAAAAGAAACATATCAAATGACTATTTTTAAATTCAACTTAATCATTTTCTAGAGCGCTTTAAGAGAAAACCGAAAGTGCTTAGTAGGCAATGTCATGCCGACGTAACAATAAAATAATTACAAAATTGAAAGGGGTGAAATAAAATGGACTTTTTAAGAACTGTTGATGTTGCAATTAATAGTTAGGAATGTCTTGTACAATTTGCCAGGACACAATGTAAACAAAGCCATAACATAGAGAGTTTGATCTAAAAAAAAAAAGCTCCCATAAGAACTCTATCTGCAAAGACATCAAGATTTAAAGAAAAAGAAAAAAATAGGTACTTCAAAAACCTTGACGAACAACAAAACTGATTTTAGTGTGTCCAAAGGATGCATGTGTATGAATGGGGTCATTTGGAAAGGTTTAACGTTGGGCGTAAATGTAAAGGAAGGACGCTGCAGAGAGGGAGGATGAGTGACAGCCTCATTAAAACGTGGCCTGACACTCACCAGCTCGTTTTCAAAAATGTGTTCTAAATCTGTTTCACAGTCCCAGAAAGAAATGGATCTGCGCATGGGGAGCAACACTGAGGATAACAGTGGGGACAGTGCAAAAGAGTCTCAGTGGCATTTGTCTGGCGGTCTGTCTCTGATGTCCTATTTGTCTCCCTGTTTTCTCCCACGGCTCCACGCTGACCGCGGCCAGTCCCTGGGGGCCTCATGTCAAAATAAGCACGGCACTGGATGAGGATCTGACCCTCTGCGCTGAGAAGGGTTTCCAAAACAAAGCCCCTGGACTTCCAGACCGTGTTAGAGTAGTAGACTGCAGAGAAATCAGAGTAGCTGTCAGAAAGTCATAAATAAATGAAAAAAAGTAAAAAAATTCTCACCTTGCTTCCCTGAAGCAGAACAATTAAAACCACTTCAACGCTGAAATGGGTTAGGGTTAGTACTGCAGAATTGGTTCATCTTCTTCTTTTTTTTTTCCCGGTGACCTCTTCTGCAATTGTCACACTGGTGGTGCATAAAACTCCAAATCTTTGTTGTTGTTGTTTTTTTGTTGCAGCCTTCTTCTCGACGTTTAAAATAAATATCACGTAAATATCACAAACGCCTCACTTTACCGCTTTCAATGAGCCACTCTGAATCAGTGTCAGCAAGAAAGCTTGGAATGCAAACTTGATATAGATCATTTTCTAGAGTATCTGCATTTGTGTGTGTGTGTGTGTGTGTGTGTGTGTGTGTGTGTGTGTGTGTGTGTGTGTGTGTGTGTGTGCGTGTGTGTGGAGGGGCGAGGGGGGACGTGTGCATTAAAATATTCCCTTTCCTACCACCCTCCTCCCTGCTGTGTGTTGGCTTGGCATCTCCTCATGGTCTGTGGTATGGAGGGCAGAGACAGGGCCCCTCTCTTGTGACGCTGACTGGAATTACACTTATGGTCACCGAACTTGACTGAAAGCATGAGGCAGAAACGGGGGGTTTGCATTTCAGGCGGGCTCCGTCTCGCTGCAAGGCCCCTTTGCTCTGACTCTTGCCTTCAGATGCCTCCAAGAGTTGCAGCGCTGCTGCATCTGCTCTTCTGATTTTAAAGGCGTTCCGAGAGAAAACGGGACCCAACCAGAATGCAAATTAGGTTTTATAGCAGACTTCTGTGAGGGAGAAATTACAAGCTAACTAAATATACTCCAGCGCAGACACTCCTGGGAGGATAATTTGCACACACACACACGCACATAAGCATACACACAAAAAGTACGTGGCTGATGTGAAATCAAGGATGTCCTCAAGTGCGTTGAGAGGCGAAGATTTTCAGGCAGTTCCCTGTTGTGTGTATACAGCTGCAGGGATGACAGATGGATGCATCAAAGATTTACTGTGCATCATCACAGTGTGTCATAGGGATAATGAGAAAAATATTTCCCCTCTCGAGCGCATCACTGTGATACAATGCACAGTGACTGGGGGCTGGATATGGAGAGTAGTCCAGGGAGCCATTAGAAGATGAAGTTTGTCCTTTTCTTGTATCCATGTGCAATCAATGGGAGTTGCCCCTAAGAATAAGGAGACGATTTTAAGTGCCTTTTAGCCCACCATAGGATTTAGGTGAAGGGCATATTCATGTAAAAACCGCCACTGATTACAAATAGTTATGGTCATTCCAAACAAAGTGCAGCAGATATTAGCCTTTATTGACTACCTTAGCTCCGGAGAAACAATAAAACAAATGAAGACCTATATTCGGTGAAACAGCTTGTGTTTTGATGATCCAGTAGGAAAGTCAAGTGAAAGACGGGGGATTTTCATTCAAGTTTCTCTCTGGTTTGATGATTGGCATGTGATGCATCAGCGTGAGAGACGAAAGCATCTCTCAATTTTCTCTGTCTTGTCCTGTTACAACCAGATATTTGACACTGCTTTTTATTAGAAAAAACATCATAGAAATAAACAAGCAATAAACATGATTTTATTTATTTTTCGTCTAAGACCATTGTCAAAAACGTCTTAACACCTACACAGAAAATATGTTCCACCTACTGCTCATCAAAAGCAGCTCCAAACTCAGTGTTTCGGCTGTTTTGCTGTTTTCTGGAAGGCTCTTCCAGATTAGAGGAGCTCAGAACCTGAAAGCTGCCTCTCTATGTTTGGTTCTGGTTCTGTTGCACTCTGACGGCTAATGAGTTGACTGTTGAAAAGAAACTACTTACACAGAATTTTATTTTTGGTCAAAAGAGTAAAAAGAAGTACGTCACACTTTAGATATTGGAAACACTTTTTCAAAATCTTAATTTTCTTACTTTTTATAAATACACACGACCTTGAATTGGCTTATTGTACTGAATTCCAATAACATCACAATTAATAAACTTGTGGTTTCAATATGACAAATAGTGGCAAGAATTCTTTAATATTTAGCACCATTCCAGATTATATTTAAGTCAGATAATAAATGAACACAGGATGTCACACCTTTTCTTTTTGCAAGGGAGGAAGCTAGTTGTCACAACCTGAAACAGCTCTACCTATAAAATTAGACAGCAAGATAAGAGGTTTCATTTTTCTCTCTTATGTCAAGAAGCTTTTTTCCCTAGAAAACTGACAAAAGCACCTTGGACACAACATTACTTTCCAAGTTGCCTTTTTTGCTGCTATATTTCTCCAGCAGTCACGCACCTGTGGGTATTTAGAACGGATCTGCAGGAGTTTATATTTGATCTTTGAAGGCAGTGTGTTTTGTGAGGCGTACATAGAGGTAGGTGATTGTATTTTTTGCACCGTTTTTCTGAATAGAGCTCAGCAGGCTTAACCCAACTACACAAAATGCAAAAGTCAACAAAGTCCTTAAAATGAAAAATCAAGAGGGAGTGGCATTTCTTTTGCATTTGTCAAACTTTGAGCATATAACTGCTTACGTAAATGATGCTTTTGCACACACTCCATACAAAAGATATGATGCATGTGGCAGTGACTAACTAAAGCAACACAGGGTGATAATAAGAGTACTGAAACATTCAGGAACATCACAAACAAGTGGTGCTCACTTTGTTCAAACAACACCACAGGTGCCATTTTGGAAGAAAAACCCTGTTGTTATTTTATTTCGAAAGCAAAACAAGGTTTTATATCTGAAAGAACCGCAGAAATTGTCTGTTTTGGGGGGAAGGTGTGTAGCGAGTAACTGTAAATCATAAAACGTTATTAAACGTTAGCTTTTCTGAATCTCCTTTACTGGACTAAATGCATGCACAGAACTGCCAGGGGCAAAAGTGAACTCCGACTAATACTCTCGCATTAGGGATCAATTAAAACCTTGTTTTTCATGGGAATGAGAGAATCAGCACCGGTCTGGTGCCTGCCAGGTGAAAGCTTTGAATATGTCATCAGATTCCTCTCCATTTACTGGTAAACTCCTCCCTTCCTTTTATAATGAAATCTTTCCATGACAGTTGAGAACCAGCTTACAGAGTAGGAAAAAAAGAAAAACAAGCCCTGGAAAGTCACACCTGATGTCGGTAACAACCCGAGCAAACCATGCACACAAGGAAATTTATAGAAAAGTGAGCTCGGCATCATAAAGTGGACCGGTATTGAAGACAGGAATAAGCTGCAAAAAATCATAAAAAGAGGAGAAAAATTTGTCAGTACTTAAAAAACAATCACCAGTTCCAATTAAGACTGGCTGCTTTACTTGTTCCAATTAAGAC